TGTTCACTAATGGGGCTGATACCACCTGTTCGGTTTAGGCGTTGAAGCCATTGATCAATGGACGAGAAAAACAGAACCCCAATTTAAGTTCATTAGATTGTGCTTCACGAATCTTCTTGCTATAACCTTGGAGGTTATTAGTGCTAAAGGGAGCAAAAAAATAAGACATTAACACCCAAACAGTAGTTAATGATACGAAATGCTAATATAAGGTCATCTCGTGACCTGCGATACGACAAGGAGAAAAGGTCTAGACGTTTCAAACGCTCGTCGTAAAGGATTTTAGAAAGACCGTTCAACAATTTTGTTCCTAAACGCTGGACACGCTCAAGTGGGTTGGTATCCTTAATCAGACATAGGCCAGCTGCTTGGATACAGTACTCTAAGTGTGGTCTTACGGAGGTGGAATATAAGATTCGAAACATTTCGTCAAAGCATTGAATGCTCGGCGAAATGACTGCAACGCACGATAACCTTTGGAATCAGCTGCGCTGCAATGCGTAGTTTTTAAGTCATTACTTATTCTAACTTCTAAGTCTTTATGTTCCTGAATGCATGGAAGAGATGTATCATTAATAGTATAATGGTAACTATTACCGCGCCTGATGTGCATGAACACACTCTTCCTAGAATTAACTTCCGAGCACCAACATTGAGACCATCTAACCGATTCGTCTACTTCAACCTGGAGATCGAAATGATTAATCTCACTTCTTATTGTCCTCCCGATTTTGATATCGTCCGCAAACAATAATATTGACGACTTAAGCAATGGTGGTAATTCATCAATGTTGAGAAGGAAAAGTAGGGGATCTAAGATGGTCCTTAGGGTGCACCACTTTTGAATGGTTTCCGTTCGAATTGCGTCCCTTTAACCCCCACTTTTGTCTGCAGTCACTTAAGAAGTTTACTGTCCATTCCTGTGCAGTAAATGTTATCCCGAAGCTCGAGGGCTTCTGTATGAGACCTAAGTGTGAAACTTTGTCAAAGGCATTGCCAAAGTCTATGAATATCACATCGATAGACAGACTATTATCTAGGGCTACTGTCCAATCCTCTCTCGCAATAAATAAGTTGGCCAAGCATAAACACTTGGTTCTAAACCTGAGTTGCTCGAAAGGTAAAAGATTGTACGAATCTGTGACTTAGCAACTTAACCCGGACAATCTTTTCAAGTAATATAACGGCTATATTGGTTGGACTGACAGGCCGATAGTTAGATACAATCCGTCTCTGACTAACCTTAAATATAGGACTGACTATAGCGTCTTTCCAATCTCTGGAAGTTGAGCGAATGAAAGGGACATGTTGATGAGCAACGCGAGCGGTCCCGAAATAATGTCCGCAGGAGATGACAACAGTCCTCAACGCAACGCATCAGGACTCGGTATCGTACAAGGTTTCAGGTTAGTGATCAATGGAAGAACAGTTTCCTCAATCATTTGTACAGGTCTCATAACTGGTATCTTGGTGTGAATAGGACAAGTATTTTCAACAATACAAGCAGAGTAGACTTCATTTATATGGTTCAATAAAGTCTCAGCCTTTGACAGATTTGATTCAGCTAGTAAATCTGAATGGAGGAATGCCGTCACTACGTTTTGTTCTTCGATTAATATATTGAAACAATCGCTTCGAACAGATATGGCTGTCACATCCCAACTACCTTTAGTTATTTCTTTATTTGAACACATAAATATTGGTACAAGGGGGTACCAGATATGTATGTGCCACGCAAAAATATTGTCATTTCATTTAATTGTGTGAGGGCTATGATGCTGCACGGGTGCGGAGACCGAAGCGGGTGGTTTTCATAGGAAGCCACACCTAGAGCCTTCGACCTAAAGGTTTGATCCACAAGGAAGTGGAGCATCGTGAGGAGATGCATTCCCACGGTAGTCGTTGACCAACGATTGATTCATAAGCCATTTGTTTCCTCAGGATACTGGAGCTCATGTGCTCCATTCGTTTGGAATCATGGTTTTCCAACTCCCCTAGGTGAACCCTCCGTGTGCACGAACCCAGATAAAGCTACGGACATTCACTTTTCGTATTATCACTGGTGGAGCGAGAAGGCAGTGAGTAGAACTTCTCTGTCAGTGGTCGTATGCACGTGGCTATGTGAGAGCAATTCGTTAATAATACACCATCAAGATATGGTCTTTTTACATATATTTAGGATTTTTCGGTATTCATACTTAAATGATTCGTATCCTGTCAACAAGAATGGGTCCCAGAAGTATTTCTTACGCTTTCGGGTTTCCTTATTATTCCATGGAAAGCAATGTGATGGCTCACGTATTGATTATGAGATAAATGTTGATGTTATGGTCAGTCCAGTCAGTCAGTTACAACGTACGTACATCAGTTCGAGTTGCCATACCACATTAGCACAGAGATGAAGTTGTCCATTCAAATCTCATATTGGTAGAAGTGGTAAGAGTATAAGCATTAATGTGGAAGATTAGGGTTTGAAGATGTTATTGAAGGAGTATAATACAATGAAATAAATTTGGAAAGAGAAAAAGGATACAGACATGAAGAATTCAGATTAGAATTTGGTAGAACACAAAGAGTTGATGCACCTTCGCCATTACAAACGATTTTGAGCCGTGTCATTCAAGGTCTCGAATGTAGTCTTAAACTTCTTTCATTCGTCTTCGATCGATCCATGAGCATCGACCAATCAGTCAGTCGAGAAAGAACAGTCTCTGATTGCTGGGATGTTAGCCCTCCAGATATTGGAACGGGGTGGAGCCGACGCATATTGTAAACCGTGTGTTCGAAGCTTAAAGTAAAGCACAACATGATCACTATTTGCCAGTGGGGGAAGGTGCTTGGATGTCTATGAAGTAGTCACAGTTGTGTGTAAGGACAAGGCCCAGTAATGACGGATCATGTTCAAAATCAATATGTGTCGGTTTTACGATACATTGTACAAGTGCACACTGAATAATTGTTGATAACAGGTTGCTATCGAAACATCCGCCAGGATTTGTAAGCTCTGTCCAGTTAATATGCGGGGTGCTGAAATCTCCAATGATGAAACAACATTCTGCCTTACTCCAAGAACAGATGTGTCTTAAGATAAAGTCGGCAGCACGACCACGCGGGCTACGACATATTCCTCCCATGGTCACGAACCTGTGTCTAGGTTTAAATGTGCAACATGCTACCTCACACGTACCACCAACATGAACCTCTGATATGCTCGATTGTACATCAAATTGATCCATAACATGTAAAATTATGGCTCCCCCCTTGTGACTTATAAATCTACAACTTATAATACAGATTTAGCCAGTAATGATGGGAGAACAGTAGATATCTACGGTAAGCCAAGTTTCTGTGACAATTGTATCGGGACTTAAATCATCCGCCACCAAACTTAGCTCAGGCATTTTATTTCGAAGACTATGGATGTTCGTGTAGCGCACATTTAAGGTATTTTGAGAGTCATTCGTTCTCCCCATACAGGTCATGGAAGCATTGGCTTCCAAGACGTGACCACCCTAAAACCCTTAATTGTAAGATTCGTTTCGCCCATTAGCTTTCAAGTTTTTAACTCAGCAAGGACATTCTTTCCATTCATTTCCAATTCCCATTTCAAGATTCTTCTTGATTGGGTTTCGCCTCCAATTCATTTACCCAATCTTATTACTTTCGTTATGTACACTCCTGAAACCTCTTCAGGAAGTACATTTGTGGTGGCGAATTCCACTAACTCCAGATCGTGTGCATACCTTTTAGTAGTGTCGTTGTCTTTCAGCTCCTCTAGATTCCAAATAATTAAACTGATGACGGGTTTAACTTCTTCGAAAGTCATGTCTACGGCTTTTGATCATTGATGTCGGATCCTGCTCGTTAATTTCTGAAAGCTTACCTTTAGTATCTATTGTAACAGAGTCGTGGCAGTCGAGAGAATGGCTCACGAAAATGCATGATGAGACCAAGCTTTTCCCATCTACGATAGGATTAATTGTTGTCATAGTTTGGGACTTTGGAGGAGTAATCTGCAGCGCGAAAGGTGAGTCTACCAAGCACTTCGGAACTAAACGGCGTTCTTTTAGACTAACTTTTATCCCCTTCCATTTTTTGACGTCATCCATTTCTCACCAGTCGTAGCATCCACATTAGAACTACTCGGGACAATAGTATTTTTGTTTGGGTCATCAGTCGCAGCTGTAACAACTTGGCCACCAGTATCTAATGATGTTTCGCTCATTAGTCGTTTCCGGATAAGAATGCCTATTACGTGTTGCAAAGTAGGGTGTCTGGCACGTGTCGTAACAGAACTCACGACACTGACGCATTCTACGCTATCAGTAAACTAGTTACCGGTACAGTTATCATCAACGTTTTTGTTGACCGACGCCAGAAGGCTAATTGTCTCTTTATTGGTTAATATTTTGCCCGTACAATAAAACATACAAAGCCAATGGGATTTAAGCTTTGAACATTTTTTATGGAAAGCGGGATTTAAGCGGGTATACATCTTATAAAATCACTTTTTACATTCATCACATAGCATTCCTTCTTACAGAGGGAATAAGTAATATGGCTGTCCACCTTTGTGAGCAGAACCAACCATCTTAAAAACTAACTAAAAATGGCAGCACAAAAATGGATACGTAAAAATTCAAACCTTAACCGAATAAACCAAGTCAAAGTCGACCAAGTATACTTTGATGCAATAAATACACAAAAGCGAAGTCAATACACACAAGTAAAACAACACTTTAACTGAAATAAATTCAATTAAATTGGAAACAGTAGTTTTGATGAGTAATTTACGACCAAAACAGTAAATTTAACTCAATGAGGAATATTACCACTGTCCATTTTTAATAGAGCGTCTTACAATTATACGTTCATGAAATTATTTGAACTCATTGACAAACCATTGTTAATTGGCATGAAAATCTTTATCTCCATCCACAACCATTGGTGAATAGAAATATTAAGTTATTGGTTATTGGTTCGAGTGTTGATAGACCCGCGAGTTTTATATTTGTTGATCTTTTAAAGCATGCCATCTGGAGCACCTTTGTTTGTTCTTAGTAAGTACATTATGCAGTTCTAACTTCTGCTAGACCGTACAGCTCGTGGAGAGCAGGGGAAGTCTGTGCAGTTAGCCAACATCGAAGCGGGGAAGACTGTTGCCGATGTAATAAGAACATGTTTAGGTCCAAGGGCAATGTTGAAAATGCTTATGGATCCGATGGGCGGGATAGTAATGACTAACGATGGAAATGCAATATTGAGAGAGGTTCGAAAACAAATATCTGTTTGATCGTTAGATTACTGTTGAGCACCCAGCTGCCAAATCGATGATAGAAATCGCGCGGACTCAGGATGAGGAAGTTGGTGATGGTACTACCTCAGTAATTATCCTCAGTATGTTATTATTTTTCTAAACATTACATGTTCCTAAGGTGGAGAAATGTTAGCAGTCGCTGCTCCCTGTTTGGAAAAACAAGTGCACGCTACAAAAATTATATCCTCATTCCGAAAAGGCCTTGATGAAATGCTTGTATTGCTTCGTGAAAAATTGAGGTAATGCAAAACACATTTTGTATTTTAAAGTGTTCCATGTGATGCATCGGATGAACGAGAGGTTCAAAAGATAGTTCAAAGTTGTGTTGGGACAAAACTCATAAGTCAATGGTAATATCAATATTTAAATCACTCACAGTCAGGTCCGACCTAGCTTGCAAGATCGCCTATGACGCCGTAAAAATTGTAACAGTGGAGACCGATGGTCGTAAAGAAATAGACATTAAACGGTACGCAAAAGTGGAAAAGGTAAGAAAAGTTGGGAGCATAATTGTTTCAGATTCCTGGTGGGTCTGTTGAAGACTCTGTTGTTCTTGATGGCGTTATGTTTAATAAAGATGTTGTACATCCTCGTATGTCAAGAAGAATAGAAAATCCCAGAATCTTGCTCATGGACTGTAATTTGGAGTATAAGAAGGGTGAAAGCCAAACAACAATGGAGTTATCAGATGATAAAGACTTCACGTAGGTTGCATTCACATTATCTATTTGTTTTTAGTCGAGCTTTAGAAATAGAAGAGTCCTTCATCAAGGAAATGTGTGACCAAATTATCCAATTTAATCCAAATGTTCTTATAACCGAAAAGGGAGTTAGCGACCTCGCTCAGCACTACTTGAGCAAAGCCAACATATCCGTCATAAGGCGACTCAGAAAAACAGACAATCTACGCATCGCGAAGGCATGCGGTGCTACTATCGTCAACAGACCAGAAGAAATTAAAGAGGAAGATATTGGCACCCAAGCGGGTCTTTTTGAAGTAAAAACAATAGGAGACGAGTATTTCACATTCATAACAAAGTGCAAGGTGAGTCTCCCTAGTGATAAACACTTACTTACAGAATCCCAAAGCTTGCACTATTCTACTCAGAGGTGCCAGCAAGGATGTACTCAATGAAGTCGAACGCAATTTGCAAGATGCCATGAATGTAGTTCGTAATGTTATGTTGGAGCAGCGATTAGTTCCTGGAGGTGGTGCCATTGAAATGGCTCTGGCTCAAGAACTAACTCAAAAATCGAAGTCAGTTAATTCTGCTGTTCAGCAAATGGTTTATCTCGCCATGGCACAAGCCTTAGAAGTGATACCTAGGACGTTAGCTAAAAATTGTGGTGCAAATGTCCTTCGACTTATTACAGAGCTTCGTGCTCGTCATGCTACTGATCCTGCTAAGTATTGGACATTCGGTGTGAACGGAATTTCTGGAAGGATTGTCGATATGAAGGAACTGGATATATGGGATCCCTTGACAGTAAAGGCCCAAACTCTTAAGACAGCAATCGAGGTATGTTTACACTTAACCTTTTACTAATTTTTAGACGGCGATTTTGCTGCTGCGAATTGATGATGTTGTTTCTGGGGTGAAGAAACAATCGGGAGATAATACACCAACGCCCACAACCACTGAATAAACTTTCTGTCCCACCAAGCGTTTGTTAACTTGAAATATATATCGATTCTGCCTGCGTTAACTGTTAAATCGTATACTTTCATCGTGAGGCACACTCGTAAATATTTATAATATGCAAACATATTTTCTGGGCACTACTACATTTCTCTTGTTTCGAGTTGTTTGTATCATGGCTGCTTGCAAGTATGGATTATATCGTCAAGAATTTGTTACCCAAGGGTAGTTTACATTTTTATTAAGACATGTTTAGAATAACACAATTCGTAACATTAACATCAATGTGTACTAAATAGCTTTCTCATCAAGTCAAGTAAGCCTATTTCATGGGTTAACCTCAGTTGCTGACAAAATGTGACAAAATTTTAATCGCTAGAACAAGAGGTTGGATAGTATCAGCATCCAGTTACTTTGAACCTGGCTTAGTCTTTGTTAAACAGCAATACAACAAATAAATACGGACATTCCCTAGGCGTCACCTAGTGTAACTGATTGTAGTTAGAAGAACGAGTGGTTGATTCCTATATTGTATTTCCTACCAAGATGCAGATACTCTAGTCTAGTCTGTTTTTTTGTCGAGTTCACATCTGAATCCCCAGTTTATTTTTTTTTTACTACATTCTCATTATGTCTAAAATAACACTGCCCATAAGTCTTTAAAGATCAAAACATTTTCCAAACGGAACTACCTTTTTTGTCGTAGTAGTAGCTACAAATACAGTACAATGTGTATATTTGAGTTTGTTTATCAAGTAAATGTGACTTCATAATAGATGAGGTTTGTGCGTTTGATTAACGAATTAGAAATTAGGTGAGTTAGTAACTCTTTCCGTCATTTGATACCGTATACTTTTCTTATCCTTTTAGTCTTCAATATTTCAAAATTATCTTGTAGGAAAGAAGTAGGAGGACTGTTATCAGTGGACAAGATATTCACACCTTATGGCCTTGGTTCACATGTCGATTTGTGGATCAGTCTTCCTACCCATAAATCTGCATAACGTCTAAGTGCCAAGCTTACTGACATTTCAAAGTCTTTATACATAAACACGTCAGGCAAGGTAAAACCATACAACCGCCCTTCTCCATTGATCCGACTTGACAGTGGGATCAGGCAGTGCAACGCAATCTCAGCAGCCCTCTTCATCTTTGCACCCATTAACGTCAAGAAACTGTCTTCACAAGAAGGGCATGGTGTTAGCTCTTTTTTGGAGAAAGACTTTCAAATCCTGAGTATTCAGATGAAGTTGTTTTACTGTAGAATGATGCACGATCTATTCAAAAAATACTTACTCAGTTGATGATGAACGTCCGTAAGTATGATATACGCCACACTTTAAATGCAAGTACTGTACGTTTGCCAATAACCCATGTTGGCACTCGTCGCTTGTTGTGGTTCGTTGGAAGTAGTTTATAAGTTCATGTATCTAGGTCATTGTGAAAATCCTGATGAAGACGTGCCATATAAAATCAATTTGCGATTTCTGATCTCGTTATAATGTTAGTCTTGCTGTTAGAAATTGGATTTACGTGTTCGTAAAAGCAGTTCTGCTTGGTGGTTGTAAAATATAAGATCTCTAAGCGGAGGATGTTCGATGACTTTTCGATCATTGCTGTATCTGAAGAAACACTCACAACTGTCGGTAATACCGTGTCAGTAGTGTTGATGTCCTGCCATATTTGTCTCAATGACAAATACACAACTAGTGTTCTAATCTTAAAGCATTAGCTCTGGTGTCTTGAACATGTTTTATTACCACACTATAAGTTATTTGCTGACTCTGAGACTAAGTGAGAAAAGGGTTGTCAGCGATATGATGAGCATTGACTGACTTGATTAGAGTGTGAATGATATGTAAAGTTGATTGTTTTCAAATTGTTTTTTGACACGTAGTCACATCCTTAGAAAGTAATTACATGACTTGATCTACTAGTTAGATCTATTGGTTATAGACGCTTGATTGTATAATATTATAAGTTACTGATTAATTAATAGTAATTACTACTCAATATCAAATTACACAGATCTAACCGTTAATTTGAACGACATAAATTTAACTCCAAGTGCCCAAACAATTTGTATTTTTTTAATTTATCAAGAAAGATCAAAATCTTACTACATTTCCATAGTTGCACACTCTGAACAATATACATTTAACTAGTAGATGTTCAAAATCAGCTGCTCTTGACATCAAGGACTTCAAATGATTATTATTTGTTGTCTTACGCTCATCCTGAGTATATTCACTCCATATCTTCATTTAGTCTCAAGATTAAGCATATTTAGTACGTGTTTAGCACTGGGATCTAGAATGCTTATTTGACACTCACCAACGGGATATTATATTTGTTATCTTAATAATCGATAACCGATAAAAATGAATCAAACAGTAACAAGAATACAGATGTTCTTGAACATATATTTCAGTAACTGAATTCACTAGCATGTGCAGTAGTGATAAACAATTAATTTCTAATGGGATTAAATGGACACAACTAGACTGAAGTAATAATATTGGATTAACACCAGATTTAGACCGATTTATAATTGAATTTATTTTGACACTGGCATTCAGAATTACCAGCAATTGTACTGTAGAGAAATATATCTAAGACTGGTCTTTCTGCTTCGTATTAAAAAAGGAATACAAACAGTCCATGTCAGTTAGTCAGCATGTCTCAAATACTTATAGATCAGCATAATAATAGAATACAATCGATAGATAGACAAAATGTTGTCAGATGCTGTTCTACTAATTAGACTAGAGAAAAAGAGTTCTATATCAGAATCAAGTTAAGTGACTTGTCCAATTTGAAGGTGATCATCTTTACCATCAAACATAAGATAGGTTGCCACTCACTGTCAGGGTAGAATCAGAAATCCTAAAACCTAGTTTGTGACTGAGGATGCAACGGATGTTCTAATTTTACAACTAGTTACCAGTAGCACCTTCTATGTTCGATCGTTCCCAGTCAGATAGAAATCAGACGAGAAGAAGCAAGAAAGATATATTTGATTCGTTACCAATATATCGAGGACCTTTTCTATAAGCTGGCTAACGAAACGTAGGAGCTGTGTCCCACGCCGAGTTGAAACGATCTGGTGCGGATGAATGTTCGAAAGCCTTCAGCTAAACAAGTCCACTTAAACAACATGGTCAGCATCCAATGTCGAACACTTAATGAGCTATTGATTTTGGGGAATTATTTACAGCTACAGATCACTCCCCCCCCTAGTGAAGTAGTGATGCCCCTAAGACGTGACCAGCCAGAAGTTTAAACCCAACGAGTTTGTCGTTGGTAAACACTCTTCTGATAGCTTGCTTCGTTTAGCAGCGTCTGGTCGTCTTTCCTTAAACTATGGGACCAAAATGTAAACCATAGCAGTAAAGAAATATAGTACAATGAAAATTTCGGTTCCTTGCGAAACTTCGTCGTTCTTTTCCAGCCGTCCTGGAAAAGAGGAAAAATAAAACGTGTGAGTGCATGTCGAAAATACACTCATACTTGCGTAGGGACACAAGATGAGCGGAAAAAAAACAAACTAATACACTTACAAACAGCGTAAAAGCGATCAGGAAAAAAATGTTTTTTTTTTGTTTTTTTATATATATATAATATATATATATATATATATATACGCTCAAAAAAAATAAAAATGTTTTTTTTGTTTGTTTATGCAAATAAAAAAAATGAGCATATTAAAAAATTTTTATAATAAACTATGAAAAGGTAATTCAAGATAAAGCTTATGTCCTACGTGCAATATTCGTTAAGATGTTCTGGAAATCTTACTCGTCTTCCAGAACGCGTTGTTTTAGGTTTATTTATCGATGTTGACGAAGTATCAAGTTGTGTGCCGGTTGTCGTGTAGGGTACTACGAGTGTAGTGACTGTGTCGTTTGCTTGTACCGAAGGAAAATCGACGTAGCTAGGGTTTCCTTCTAATTACGCTGCTTTGAATCGATCGATACTGATGCTATCGTTCGTACCGTTCTTATCTAACACATAGTACTTAGGTTCGCGTTGAAGAACTTTGAAAGGTCCTTCGTATGCTGATTCGAGGGGTCGTCGATGTGAGTCTCGACGAACGAAGACGTGTGTACTATGTCGTAATTCGGGTTGAACGAAAACATCAATTGATTGAGGTCGAGTGTGAGCAGGTTTAACTGAACGCATAGCGTTTGTAAGCCTACTCGTGTAAGAGTTTAGATCCATGTTCAATGAAGAAGGTGAAGGATCCACGAATTCTCCTGGGAGTCGGAGTGTCTTTCCGTAAACGAGTTGAGATGCCGTGTATCCAATGTCAGCTTTCACTGCATTGCGGATACCTAGCAAGACGAGTGGAAGAGCGTCTGTCCACTGTGAAACGTTTGAAGCTGATAATGAAGCTTTTAATTGTCGATGAAAACGTTCTACCAACCCGTTTGCTTGTGGGTGGTAGGCGGTCGTTCGGAAGCGCGTGATTCCTAATAGTGAGGTGAGACAACGGAAAAGTCCAGGTTCGAATTGGCGTCCGCGGTCTGTAGTGATTGTGGAAGGGCAGCCGAAATTTGCTACCCATCGTTCGACGAAAGCGCGGGCCACTCTTTCAGCAGTAATGTCCTTAATCGGTACCGCTTCTGGCCATCGAGTGAAACGGTCTACGCATGTTAAGAGATATGAGTATCCGTTCGAGTCGGGTAAGGGTCATACCAAATCTAGATGGACGTGGTCGAAACGAGCGTCAGGGGTTTTGAAAAAACCTAAGGGTCATTTTTTGTGTCTGATTACCTTAGATTTCTGACAGCTTACACAGGAGCGTGTAGGGTTGAAATCCAACGTGCATACCCGGGGATTCGAAATTCCGAGGAGCCCCGTACTAAGACGAAACGGCCGTCCAGTGGTTCCTGGTTTTCAGTGGGGGTCTAACATTGATCGGTTCATGACTTCTGTGAAATTTAAAAATTTCCGCAACCTCAAATTGTAAAATACTTTACTTATTTCTACTGCTGCATTTTGCCGGGGTATCGACAAAAAGGTCGAGTCTGAATAAACTCAAGGTTAAGGGATGATTTGGTCGAGGATTGTTAACTTTTAACTACCTGTTGAAGATGATTACTAGGATCCTTATATACTGATATTATTATCTTGTTCGGAGTACTCTTGTTGATTCTAGTCTAGTACATTAGCCGTTTCGTCTTTAAACCTATTTAAAGTGACTCTGCATTTGTTTTTAATGGTTTTAGCTAAAGTTCACTGTGGAGATGTGCGTTGACTTCCTTTCATAGTCAGAAAAGATCATAACAACAGTGTTGATATTTTTGTCTGCTGTTATAATGCCAATTTTCCTGTCTTTACTCAGCTCTTCTACAGCATCTATTTCTTCTCTAGGTAACGAGCATTAGGTTTTTGTTTTAGTAATGCAGTTGAGATTGTAATCCTCAATACATTCTCTTGATCCTCCGGATTTACTTGAAATTCAACGTCTGAGATTTTACAAATATATTCTTCCTCCTTAATATCTTAGAATTTAGTTTGAATTATCCAACTGTGCAGTATCACTTGACTACATATATCAGACTTGAGTTACCAAGGCCGTTTAGTCATAAGTCAAATTCATGCATCTCTAATATTGAGGCTGAATCAGAGGACGTGACGTGGTATTGCATCTTAACAGCACGATCTTTGAAGCCAAACATATAATTACTGAGATTTACATTTAATACTGTATGTGCTTAGAGTAAGATACATAATAAAACTAGGTTAACAATGAAGAACACAACTATAATAAGAAACTCAGGATGAAGTGATATGAAATAAGACAAATCTATGTTTTTTAAACGAATATACTTATGAACTTATCAATTCGACTTACAAGTTATCACATTTTAACCTTGACTTTTAGTAACCTAAAGGAAAATCTGAAATTTCTGTCAAAAAATAAGTAAGTTACGGGCCTGTACACAAGACTTTAAGCTATGATTTATCTTATCAAGACTAACAATCCGTGTTGGCTAGCTAAATTAAATTGGGCGGGATGAAATCGAACTCTAACCCGATAATTGCTAATTAGGCGTAGTACCTACTATCTTATCATTCCACCACAACAGAATCCTTCATTATACAAAAACACATGTACAGCGATGGATATCAAAGAGATTTATCAACAAGAGACTAGCGGAAAAGGTACATTACTCACCATGACGAGGTCTTAGCACGATCGCATATGTAAAAATAAACGATACTGTTAGTAGGACTTAAGTAGCCGCTTATTGAGGCGACTCCAACTCGAGTTTCCACCAGTTGTCATTTCAGCCACAAGTATACACTATCATATATATACATTTCTGAAGCCAACGGCCAGACTAGTAAAACTAAAACTGACGTTTAATTACGAAGCTAATAAAAATAATCATGACATCTTGAATATACGACTAATTCAAGTTCACTACTACTGACTGACACTATCTATTATTTTATTCCAATTATTGTTTCTGATGTAAACAGAGAAACAAGAAACCTTGACAAACTACGGAAGCTATTTTCGGGGACGTTATTTCATTTAATTCAAAGGTTGTATAACAGTTACATTTACTTTTGTCTATAGTCTATTCTACAGAACATAAGCATTCGTTTGATTTATGATTCACTGTCATAGCCTTTTCTGTTTCAAAGCTATTGGGATTCAGATGAACCTTTTGTGCTCTATTTTCTACTTTAATCTCCCAGTTTTGGACATATTTGTACGTTGTGGTCGGGTTAGTCATCTATTTATTCATTTGTCTTTTTACACTAATCTGAATTCGGGTACCAGATCGGCATTCGGAATAAAGCGAGTAGCGTTACACTTGTCTTCTCTCTCGTGTGTGCTCGTCAGCCAATCAGGGATAGAATAGTTTTCGTCTTTCTACCCCACTTCGAACTCACGCATACTAGCCTCCAGGTTAAGCCAGCCAGCCTATCGCGTCAAGGTCTTGATCTACATTAGACAAATTATCCTCGGCACGAAAGTGGGTAGACAGATCAAAGACGTAACATTTTTTCACTAGTTGGTTGTTTGTTTCTAAAAGCTACTTTCAATGTGTAAGAGAATGAATCGATGCACTTGTACATCTCTTACATAGTTTACCGTAGTATTAATAATATAGTAAATAATTGTATAAAAATTCAACAAATCATCATACACCTATTCTCTAATCGAGACAGAGGACGCACGACAGAAAAGACAAATATACGTACAATAACAACAGTGTCAGCCACCATAACTCAACGTGTGAACCGCAAAAATTATTTGAGATTAAACACAGTTGAAAAAACAAATAGAAGGAAGACAGTATTTTAAATAAACTCATGAATCCTAAGGGGCTTGCATACACACGCGCCCAGAACCTTAAGCAAAGAAGTTAATAATTTACAATGATTTTAGAAAATAACGATAACAGGAGATAAATTAAAGCAATGTTAACTATTGAATAAATATGTATATATGTACACATGGTGTTCAAAAACATCACAAATCACAAGCGAGGGAGAAAGAACGGAAGAGAGGTGTTGAGATAAATATATGTAAAAAAAATATACAAAAGGATAAACAAAAGGTATTATATCATCATTTCACAGATACTTTTGTTAAATGTTATCTAAACGAAAATCTAATCATGGTTTTCATTTATTGTCCCAAAGAAATAATAGTAAGCGAAAAAAATCAATGTTAAACGCCAGGATCATCATCACAGGGAGGGATTAATTAAATCCAAATATTTAAAGAAGAAAATAATTAACTCGTACTGAAAAGTTGTTGAAGAAGAGATATACAATAAGAAGGAAATAATATTTGGAAATACTAGTTTAGCACAAAAATCTATGTAGGATAAGATGATGAAAATTACAACCATATTTTTACAATGATTTGTACGAATCATTTCGAATAACAGCTAGAAGTGAATCGTAGATTCTCCACTTTAATTTTTAGGTGGTATCACTTGACGAAATGTATCTAAAATAATGGAAAAAAACCATAAAGATTGGTAAACAATAGTCCCAATTACTAGTCAGAGATTTTACCGTTGGATAATAGGAGGTTTGTGGCTTAATTAGAAACAAGACTCAATTCTATACATGAAATGGTTTTCTGATAACAACTAGTGTTATATATTTTCGCTCTTAGTGTCGTCGGAATCCCACCAAACACAGTATTAAGTATAGAGATGGACACCATAATTGGATAGATTGCTCGTGTGATCACTTGACATTTCGTGATTAACTTGGAAGTTGACAGTATAAAATTACTGACAGATTTCAGAAAAGTTACAAACAAAGAATTGGAAAGGTAGCTCAAGGGACAAGAGTACAAGATTGAATACGCACATGAATACCTTCAATCATACCAATTTATATTACATGGTATTTTAAATGGACAACAAAAGCCTGATCAAAAATAAACACGGATCATACCGAATAAAAGAGATTCTACAATTTAGAGCTCTTTTTGGGCACCACACATAGAAGATTGAAATAACAGCATCTGACTTTTATTTACAAATTACATTCACTTTTCAAAACTATTTAAACATTACAAAACGAAGAAAATTTTCTTTTTGACGAAATTATTTACTTAAGCTGTACAACATTTGCTACTATATTTGGTTGGTTAATCAAAATCGACTCATCTAGTACAAATTTGTATTGACCAATTCTTTAATAAAACACCAGTACATATAGTAGAAACTGGCCAGAGTTGATTTATAATGATAATCTACAAATATTCTCTACCTCCGATAACTGCGTTTTACGGTCCATAAAGTATAATAAACAGAACTGCTACACAACATACTTGTCCTTTAATAAGCATACAAATATCTCGTGTATGCCATAATTGGTGAAAGTTTACAAAGTCAAAGCCAGCTATCTGAGTCCACGCGAACACATCATCAAACGCCAATCCACAAGACTTTCAAGATAAGTGAAGCAATCAACAAACTTAACTACATGATTCTTACCATTGATTCAGGTGTTACCGCAGATAGTCATGAAGGTATGTTTTGCCTTTTACGAGGGAGAAATACGTCAGAAAAGTGTATGGCGATCAGAAAACTCTGCAACTTGACAATTTTAAGCAAATCACTTGACAGGAAGTCAATCCCTGAAATGTAAGACGAGAGTATTATCCCTCAAAGAATGATCAGAACGAGTAGAGTTGGAAACCCTAACGAAAGACACTTGATGTTCCGAAATCCGTTGACAATCGTCACAAGCTTAGACCCGAGTAACAGCATTCCAGCAAACAGCCTTCACAATGCTTGTGTACTTCTTTGGTAGAGATTGTAAAAACAAAGACTTTCACAAAGCCTATCAGTCAATCTAATCAGATATCGCCTTGAAGTCAGTAATAATCTCAAAGATCTCAGGATATTTAGAAATACAAAATAAGTATAGTGATGTTGATAAGCGCAGAAATACGAAAATAAGGAGTCAATGGAATAGTGCCGAGCATGCAAGCATATAGTCAACTTACAGTTATAATGTTGAGTATTCAGTAGTAACATAAGACACGTTATGCGTTGTAGTTGATGGAACCTTGACATGGTTAGGTTGAAAATAAGCACTTCTACTGGGTATTGAAAGGTTTGATACAGTTGATGACGCTAAAAGAGGTGGAGTTGTTAATCTAGGCAGAACAGTCTGGATCAATGATTGATTATGTGTTGGATAAACTGAAACTGGTTGAGATATTAAACACTCCGTCGAATATGTTGAGGAATTAAATGAATGTGTAAATGAATCGGATGAGTAAACTGGATTACCAAAACCCGACATCGATGACTGTGGAAGAGTAGTTGAAGACGTTCGAGAGTATGGATGAATACTATCAAATGCTTGAGATGATAGTTCATGATTGTAGGACATAGTATCGGAGGAAAGACTGTACAAATCTTCTCGAAGAACGTCTGGATCCTGTTTTAAAGTCTCAGTAATGTAATGATGATTTCCAGTTGATAAGGGAACGTTGACTGAAGCCATTACATCAGGATCAATAATCAAACGACCAGCATCTTCCTCTTCAGATTCATCTTCAGAAAATGTAGGTATATCGACTGTGTCGGACAGAATACCTGAAACTTTGAGATCCGGAAATACATGTGGGAATTGAGTTAGGAGTTCTGAATGTGTAGCACTAAATGTTTTATCAAAGTCTTGTGAATCGGTAGTTGATATATTTGATTCTGGAATAATTTCTGAAGTGAACGGACTTTCTGTGTCTTTTGATGAATTTTCAACAATTTGATGTATTTTGTTATCAGTAATTGGGACATCTAAATTTGGTAATGAAGAAATGTTAACTTCATTTTCAAAAGAATTTTGTGTATTGTTGCTCAAAACTTTAGCACACTTGAGCTTACTTTTTGATTTCGGTTTCGAAAGAATGATTTTTAAACGGACATTAGATTTAGTATTTGTTAGAGAATCGTACTCTCCTACCAATATATTTTTATCTTCAGAAGTATTAGGATAAACCTCATTTTTAGTCTGTTGCTTTGATCTACGTTTAGATATCACATGTAATTTTGACTCTATAGACGCAGTGACTTCCCCGCCCATGTTATTAAGGGTAGTTTGACCTAAGGACGTATTCGAAGAATCAACAACTGATGGACATAACACCGAAGCTTCTTGTTCCTCACGACAGACTTTGGTTTTGCTTTTTCTTACTTTGTTATTAGGATATTTACTTTGTTTCTTGGTTGCGTTCACTTCTTTATCAGGGTTTATGTCAGGAATGGATAATGATGATGCAGTTTGTGAAACCTCCGACTCTTTGGAACCATCAGGAACAGGTATTTCAGATGACTGAGATAAAGATTGTTGGTGTACTATGCCGCCCGAAAGTTCATGGTCCCAGTCACTTTCACTATCAGTAGAGTGAGTTTCTTGCCTTTTTTCTGCCGCTTGTTTTGCTTCATTAACTGCTTGGCGAAAAACTCCACGTTTCTTTTTGTTATCAAATCGTTTACAATGTTCTAAGAAATGAAACAATTTATCACATGGCATGTATGACACCTGGTGCCAAGCAAACCAATGAAGACAGGCAGTATAACAAACCTGCTCTGATGTTAAAAGTGGAGATGACTTTTCTTGGGAATCCACGACGGTGCGTACTTGTTCAGAATTCGGCAAATCATTTTCATTGGCAACCACACATTGTATGCTAGTAATCTGTGCAGGCCAGTAAGGCCATCCTGAAAGTTTGCTCCAAACTAGGTCACCTACACGAAAAACAATGCCATCATGTAACTTACAGCGTTTTACTAAAGGACCTGACATTATTAAACTCTCGCATGTAGATCCCTTCTTTGAAGAACCGGCGGATGGTGACGGTGATGGTGAACGTAAACCATTGCACTGAATGTCCAACTTCAAAGCAGATGGATTCGCATTCGCTATTAAACTATTTTCTTCACTCACAACTTTAGAAGCCGAAGTAGCCAATTGTTGATTTGAGCCAGTCTGTAAATTAACAACTTCATAATGTGTCGGTACAGTTTTCGAACACCCAGAAGGTTGTCTATTCCGATTAATTTTAATTTTGATTACAGGAAGGGCAAGACCAGAACTATCACTTGTCGGGGTTAAGCATGGAGACACATGAGATGTAGATGCAGACTTTTGGTCAGTTATGTCCAAATATTTTTCAGACTGTGAAGCGTCTCCTGATTCACTGTTACGATTGTTTAACGATCCATTAGGAAACTTTACCTTAGAAGATACATTGTTATTACTTTTTAAAGTACTTTCGCTTGGGCTAACACTAGATCCATCACCCGACCGAATTCGCAGTCGGTTTAAACTAGGAGATTGTGGATTACACGAGGTAGAGTTATCCGTATCTGTATTATTGGATGAAGATGAAATATGACTTGTTGCAGTGGAACTAGGATTACTGTTTCGCTCATCTTGACACCTTCTAGCTCGCGCCTCACGCATCCATCTGTTTTTTGGTTTTTCGTAATCAAAAGCTTTACGTCGACTTTGTGGAGAGAAATTACTCTCACCCATAGGGACCCCAAAATTGTTTGAGGCAGAATTGTGTCCATACGTAGATGTTTTGCAAGTTAACTGTACAGAAGTAGAATACTTCTCCTTAGATGGACTCGACAAACGTGGGCTTATACTATTTGGGATATTTTCTTTTTGTGGAAAATCACCATCAAGAGAATTACTAGGTAGAATTTCATCCACCTCTGAACGATCTTCTAGATCTTTTACAGAACAAGAAGGACCCAGTGAGTCCGAAGTGACAGAAAGTGGGTTCAGCTGAGTACGAGTACGGTATCGAGAATTTTTTCGCACGCCAAGATTCGTTTTTGAAGATGTTAATGAATTTATTTCTGATTTTTCAGAACCTTTGCGAATAGCGTTTGATTCAACCTTTATTCTGCTATCGCTAATCGAGCTAACATTTCCAATCTCTTGTTTGGAAGAGATTCTAGCTTTTTTCCCAAACGGATAGCGAAATGTAGAGATGACAGATACATATTGAGCTTTAATTCGGTTCTTACGAGTTTGTTCCTGAGACGAAAGAGAATCAACAGAATTTGTCTTACCGAATAGGCTTGGAGAAGTAGAGAAATCTTTGGTTTCCTCCGAAAAGGAGGAAGGTAATGCAGGGTCGGAAGATGAATCCGGATTAACGACAGGTGGTGTTGCGACCAGGACTGTATTACTAACATTATTCGGTTCAGTGAGCTTTTGAGAACTTAGTTTAATCTTCTTCAGCTTTTGCTTATCGGGAACAACATCGACTTTCCGTTTCTTCGACATGACTAATTTTGGTTCTAATGACTCTGGAATTTTAGTTGACTGTTCAGAAATAAAATGCTTTTTAGATTTTGATCGTATATCAGAACTAGAATCAATTTCTGATTTTGACGAATCATCCACGTTTATTTTCATTTCTTCATTAAGTTTAGGGATGATTGGTGGAGTGACGTGTCGAATAGACTGAGAATTTCCATTGAGTGTCGCTGGTGTTATTTGGTCAGAAATGTTGCTTTTGGGAAGGTAATGATTTACTTCGTTGTCTGAATTTAGGGCAGATGAATCAGAAGTGCGACGATCTATCAGATCGGTGAGGAAGGAAGAGGAAAGTTCCGTACCATGTTCTTCTAGATGGAATGCTTTCTTACATTTCCGACAAACAAATCGCCGAGGTCGTAATATCCGTGACAATTGTGGAGCTGGTTGGTTTCGATGACTTCGTTTTGTTGGATCAGGTTGGAAGACATTTAAATTTGAAGGTTGACCTTCCAATTTGTAGGAATAACGTTCTGTTGAACAAGGAATAGTTTTGAGGTTTATCCCTGATGTTGTTCCACTTAGAGGAGGCCAAAATGGTGCACTAGTTATTCTTTCTAAATTTGTCCCATATTCATTGAATTTCCTACAAAAAAACGCCGAATTTTAACTTAAGTCAAATTATTTAAATTTTGAGAATTTCATCCACTAGATTTCACTATGAAAACAATAATGTGTATGATAATAAGAATATACTATATTTTGAAGCCTCACTGAATAAAATATGGTTAATCACTAAAATCTATAACGAGTCTTAGTATGGTGGAATTAAAACTTAACAGACTACGCACCAAGTTGTCACAGTGATTCATGTTTACAGCGTGTAATAATTTCTTGGCTTTTCCTACTAGTAAGAGCAATCCAGTCAATGACATTAGATTACTGTCATAATTCCCAACATTTACAAGACAGTACATATTCATGTGTATTTTTTAAAACTTACTTTTAATATTTAAGAAGCTTTTTCATTTGAGATATCGTTTGTCCCGTGGACTTGGAGTGTGACTAATCAATCTCAGTGGTAATTTATTCTAATCTTATCTATGAAGTTCATTCTACATTTCTAACGAGAAACTCATTTTGCTGTTCACATAAAAATACTTGTGAAAAATTCTATGAATGATTTTCCCTAAAGTGAGACCTTATCTGCAGAATTCTTATCTTTACACATACAATTCATCGTCAATATCATTACATGTCCCAATCAAAGCACCTACCGAATACGAGTGAAATATTGACTTTATGAACTTCACTTTTGCAAAAAAGACCGTTTCTTGAAATGCCGACTCCACATCAAAGAGAGCACTCAAATGTTTACGCAATAAATACTGAGCTATACCTAGAAAGTGGAAGCATGAGATAGCATACACATGGTCGAATAACATAGGTTGACTGAGTCATAACTATCAACCAAAAAATTATTGTTTTACACCAGAATAAAATAGGGTCCAATTAAAAACCTTAGGCGCAATAGGGAGTTTATAATGACGAAGATGAATCTACGGTGCACAATCTTCCTGGTTGATGATAGACTGTCCTATTTCCAAATGATATACCTTTAATAAATTTTCCCTTTGAGTGGTGTAATATATTAGATGAGCTTGTTTATACACAAACTTTCATGACGTTTAATCCAGCGACCTATCAGGAGTAGAGTAGTATTATTTACCAAGTTGAAAATTAGTTTGTTTTATTGATAAAAAGCGTGAAACATAAAACTTAAGACACTACACTTTATCGACAGGTGCATATGAACGAAGACAGTGTGATAAATGGAGTAAAGGAGACGAAACGTAGTACTACTTAGTTCACTTATATCAATTATAGTGTAAGTGACACGTTCTACTGAATATCAAATTTGGATGTAGTGCTGTTTAATAGTATTAATTCATGGTTATAAAATGTTACAAAAATTGTAGTATTTATGTGGGTTACGTATGTTTTAAAAGTGAGGTATAACTGATGCATGATGGGATAACCGGGTAGAAGGTAATGAAGTTAGATGAGAAATACCAAGGAAGGTGGCAAACCCCACTGCAAACATTCACCGACTAAAGTGGTTGGAACTTGTTATAAAGGATTAGTCATTACCAATCTCCACACACCATTTAAACTAGTGTTGGAGAAAAACTAATAACCCACCAGGCTATTAAATTGGTTCATGAAGAAGTCACTGATAATAATATCGTGTATTTAGTCAGCAGCTGAGATAAGATCACTAGGCCAAAAGTGAACCAATAAGATAGAAAAAACAGAAACCAACAAGAGGTGTAATTCATTAAGATCATCCTGACATCCAGCGGAAGTCCCGCAGAATTGCTAATCAGTGATTTTCAATAACGTATGTTATTCTCTTACCGTAAAATCCAAATAAGCTAGCAGAATAATTAGCAACCGAAACGTTCCTGATCCACCTTCAGTCAGATAGCGTGGAAACAACAATCGAAGTCAAATATGCATGTCGGGAAATATTAGTAAGAAGAAGTAGTGTGAAGGCAGGATATCAGACATTCAATCGCAAAACATTGCAAGACATTTCTACAAATAATGTTAAACATCCAAATGTGCAGAAATTAACACATCACTTATCAATGATTTTGTTGTTTGATGTTTTGGAAAGTTCATAACTTAGTTGTCCGTATTAAAATATACTTTAAATAAATCCATTTGGGTAACTTTGCAGTATTTTATGCATTTTCTAGTACACAAACTCACTATTGGGTACTACAACAAATGTTCGTTTGACTAGCATGATACATAAACACAGCCTCGTACACCAATACCACTATAGATATAGATAAATAGAACTTGATCATTAGCTTCAGGTGACGTCCTTAACATAACTAATTTATCTTTGGATTAGTAAAAGAGTTCATATTTAACTATATTACTATCAATAGACAAAATAATAATAAGCAAGAAAATATTAAAAGACCCACAAATCATTGTCATACACAACGCAGAACCTGACACATGTGTGTCGACTCAAGTTGCCTTGCTACATCAGTACAAAAAGAAAATTAGTTCAAGACAAATCCTAAGGTAGTAGAAGTAATAACAGCACCGGTAGTAAAAAAAGAAGGGTGCAGGGAGATTTCAGGACTCAGGTTCTAGAGAAATACGAGGAGTGAATGTAACTATACTATTGTGAACCATGTCACACAAAGTATCCAACCTATCGTTACGACAATAGCCTAGACCCCAACCAGGTACACATTGATATGGCTTAAACCGACAAAAATTAGTTACCACGGTTTTGTCCATGCATTTTAGACAATAAACCACATCCATTTAAAGCTGGATCTCCCGAGTACTAAGTGAACATTAAATTTAACCAATATCATCATTTCCAGACACAAAACAAATCAGTATATTCATATTATCCTCATGAAGACTAAATAGATTATTGAGGTACATGGTTTATGCAATATAGATTGGTTAATGGACTGGTCATGATAAGCACTAGTTTTTAGCAAAAATATTGGATGAAGATTCATGAAGTCAACATCTTTTTAAATCATTGTATACGGAATATTTTCAGAAACTGTGGCAGAACTGGAGTGATCATTTTCTCCAATCTAGTAGCAGGATTATATGAAATTTGTCTTAAAGGAAATAAATACGGCCTTCAAGTAAATATATACGGTTAATACAATGAAATGAAAGGTTTATTGAATATGAATCATATTTGCTTGGATTTGAAATCGACCAATATTTTAAATGATTGATAGAAATAAGATTAGATCAAAATTGTAATCGATTTTTTAACACAGAATTGTCAGTTTCAAATCGAATTTAGCAGTCGTGGATGGAATGTAGAGTTAACGCCTATCAAAGGGTTCTTTGATAAAAAGTGGGACATTAACTTTAGAATTATTTTTGCTAACCAATACATATACTAATTACCACATTCACGAGATAGTCGTTGATCGGATAATAAACCAAACAATGTTGGTGAACAAATACGTGTGACCATCACTTTCTGAGAATCTCGGAAACCTTATTGTGCTAAACTCATTGATTCTCAAATCTTACTTTCTTGGTAACTGCTAAGTGCTTGTCGTTTATTTTTTCGTAGATTTCTTACACCAGCGGAATCGTTTGAGGTTTCGCAGCTACTCTAGAAGGGTACATGTTTAGATTAATTAAAATAAAAAAACGCTATTGCAAGAAGTGGCGAGATAAAAAAATACCTACACAAATTGAGAATAAGGTGATTTAAAGGAACCAGGCAACTAGTTGTACGTTACTAGTAAGAAGCAAAAGTACCCACCTCATATTAAAGCATAGTGTATATAACATCCAATTACCTAGAATAGTGACCATATTGTGACTTGATCGATAAACACTAAAGACTAGACAAACATGACCATACCCAATATTACTTAGATAAAAGCAACGGTAGTGTTCAAGAAATTAAAACTATTCTTTCTCAGATAACAGAAGACCAATATTTATTTAGCAGCGTTAGGAAAATACGTGATGAATGAAATGACTGATAACCAGAGCAGACGCATTCACTCTTTACCTCAGAATACCTACACTTTTAGTTCACAAACAGAAGCCAGCCCTTTGCAGCTTTCTTTAATACCACAACGCCATGCCCCCAAATGCCCTCGTATGGCCGGGAGTAGTGAGAGTCCGCTCTCCCTCTCGAAATGCTCTCACATGGCCACGCGTATATAGCCTCTGTCAGGGAAGTCCTACTCACTGCCTTCTCGTAGCGGGAGTGTTGTTTGCGAAATGGAGAGGACGGAAAGCGAATGTCCGGCGCTTTAACCGGGTTGGTGGACACGGAATGTTCACCTACGGGAGTTGGATAACCCTGATTTCAAACCAATGGTGCACATGAGCTCCAGGATCCTGAGGGAACAAATAGCGTATGAACCAATTGTTGGTCACCGACTACCATGGGACTGTATCTCATCATGATGCTCCACTGCCTTGCGGATCAGATTTCTAGGTAAAAGGCTACGGGTATGGCTCCCTAAGAAAACCATCTGCACCGGTCTGTATTCCAGCTCTCACACAAGTCAAATGATTTATGTGGTGCACATCTATTTGGTGCCTGCTTATACCAATATTTATGTGTTTAAATAAAATAAAATAGTGACCTGTGAGCGTGACTGCAGACGCAAGGGACAAGTGCTTGAGGTCGGTCACACACAACCTTTTTCTGGGTAACTTTTGTGTTGGCTCTGTACCTGTTGGGACCTTACCGCCGGAGACGGATATCCTTGGGATAAGGCGAGGTGTGCATTTGTAGGGTCAACCTATTCTAACCCCGCCCCTCCTCGTGGGAAGGCAACACTTCTGTTATGCTGGTTGTCTGAAAAAAACACCTTACTGTCGTGAAACCTCTGTACAAACAACAGTACTTCGCCTTAGCTTTGCCCAATTTTATTTCGTAACAGCCTTTGTTTATGGTTAAACTCACGGTCACCCGGAGTAGAACGACGGGTTTCGATGAGTTGTAAGAAGCCAGAAGAAACCCAGTGCTTATAAGCAAGACGTTCTACGAAGCCGAAAGCGGCTTTACTCGCCATTTTCATGGCGTCATGGAGTTGTAACCAATCCTCATTTATA